GTGAAGGTTTTTATTACTAAGAATATTACTGAACAGTATTACAGTTATACAGATGAGAGTCTTGATTGTGAAATATTTCACTAGTGAATATAAAAATACTTGTTTTTGTATCACAAAAATATTTAAATGCTAAAAAATCTCAGCTAGGATTCTCTCTCGTGAATCTCACTCATCAATCTCATCATTCTAATGTTTTGTACACATCAACAGGCCATATGGGAACATGAGGAGGAGGCTTGGTGTAACTCAGGAGGCTTTGGATGAGCAAACAGCGCCTGCAGCTATGGAACCTCCCTGTCCAACAGTGAGCAATGCTGATATCAAAACAGTGGGTGGTGTGTGGCATTCATCATGATTTCAGAATAATTCTTCCCAAAGTGTGTTATGTTGCTTTGAAGGAATTTCTTGTTTGTTTTGAAATGATAGTATGCATTAGTTATACAAAAAATTTAAAAAGATGGTTTTTGTACTTGAAAACAACAACAAAAAAAGGAATAGAGGAAAGATGTGTTAGTAAAGGAAAATTATATTTTAACCAGTGAGTTTAAGCCACCACAGAGGATTGTGGTGTTAATAGTCGTGGCTGCACCATGACTGGTTTGTTGTCAGTGTTAACCTCCTCCTGCTATGATGGGTCCAAAGAGTCAGTTAAGATTAGCACTTGTCGTTTGATTAGTGAGGCTGGCTGGAAACAATCCAGACATTTCAATTAAGTCTGTAGTATTTAGTCATCACAGTTTATCTGTGAGGGTGATTCTCCAGGCTGATCTTCTATATTACATAATCTCCTTAGTGGAGTCCTCAGTCCACAGAATGAACACTGGAGTCTCTCTATCATCCAATCCAGACCACATCCTTAGTCTACTGAAGGGAAGTGTGTACAGTGGAATAAAGACTTAATTACTAGCATGTTCGTCACCTAAAACCTCAGTTCAACACCTGTATGTACAGTTATGTGAAAAAATAGGTTAAACAGTCATCTGACAACCAAGTGCATACAGACAAGGGAATATGTAGTAGATGACATCACAAAGAAAGCATCACAAAGAAAGTGGCTTATTTAATCATTTCATTCAATAAAAAACAACAGAGATTTATCATTCTTCTATTGGAAAAACTGAGTATCTTTGGCCTATTATAACCCCAGCATGAATCTGTTCTTGTTTGATTTACAAGATCTTCTTTATCAGTCTTTTGCTGACTTGGTGCCCCATACTGCAAGGTACATTGCTTCATCTGCAACACTTTGAAAACTTGAAGCTACCTAATTCTTGAGACTGTGAAGAAACCCCAAATGACAATATTTCCAGTTTAAGGCTTTACAGCTGGTATCCTTGGTCTGCACCAAACATATCTAATTTATTGTGGCCAGAAATTCTTGTCTTCATTCATCTTTCTAGAGTAGCTATGTTAGAATTTGCGAATGTGTTTGCTGGCAAAAGGGCTTTGTGTTGAGGGATTTTGCTGACTGCCAAGCTTTCTTGTTGCTGGTGTGCCTCCCATGCAGGTCGAATTTGTTTTTTCGAATCAGGCTCTCTGATTGCAGTTTGACAGCAACAGTTTCAATCTTACCTACAGAGCCTGTGATTAAATTTTGAGCTTTTTTGAGTCTTTGCATCAAATGGCCCTCTGTTGATCTGAATGTGTGTGGGCGGCCAGTACTTCACAAATTGTCAGTATTTTGAAATCTATGCTATTTGTAGATGATTAATAATCCTTTCCTATATTCACAAGAAAATGAATCTTGGAAAATTAGATTTTTTATCTTTTTTTCCATGGTTAAACAAAGATACAACATAGGGGGATACAGCAGTCATATGATCTGCATCTTAAATCCTCCTGGATGAGCATGTCACTTTAGCTTCCCTAACATTATACTTTGACTTGTGTAAGGGTTTTATATATAGTACTCTGCAATGAAGACACCTCTACTGCAATATATAGGATTACTAGACCAGATGTCGTTACCTCACTATAAGATTACGAGGCTGGAATGTCTAATCCGTGCTACCTGACATGCACATTGAAATCCTGTCACCCTTAATGGGCAAGCCAATGCATTCTGAGCATATGGGCTTCTGAGATAGTATTACCTAGATCATGTGCACAAGATGAGTAGTTCCCAGCTTATGTTCATTGTCATTTCAAACGGTGTATTTAGTCTCTTTGCAGTGAGTAAATAGTGTAGCTGTTGAATGCAACTGAGAACATTCACTAGAAAACAGTAGTTAAATAAGCTAAAATCAATATTTTTTTATTTACAGTGTTTCAAATTACAGTGTAAAGCACATTTCGTTCACCATAGAACAGCAGATTGTCAACTGAATCTGTGGTCCTGCTCAGCATTAATTAATTTTCAGCTCGTTGTTTAGCTTCTGCCCCCACAACTTTACTTTGTTTGTTACTCCCCTTGTGGTGTTGTTTTAAGGCTGCTGCAGGCAAGGAGAAACATTTCCAAACAGCAAGCAGTTGAGGAGTAGTCGTTGAAGATAGTGGAGCAACTGCCAAAAGAGAAAGACTGAGAGATTCTTCTGGTGGCAGGTTATGGGTGTTAGAGCAATTAATGTTATCAGCAAATGCTATAAAGCTTTGCTAGCAAGCTGTCATAAGTAGGGGAATTTGCTGTAGAGATGAAAACTATTTTATGTATAACGCTGTAAAGATGTTTGCTGTTGAGCATTTTGGGGGGAAAAGTCAGTGGTTTCAAGTTAAAGCAAGTATACACTTCAAAAACATTGAACCTGCCAGAACATAATGTTTATTTGACAGCTTTATAAGTTGCTGCATTATTATTTTAAACCCTTGGGGCATCCTGGTCGATGGAGGATTTAAGACACTGACCATGCAGTCTGTCAGTGTTCAGCTATACTTCCTTTCTGGCATTTTGCCTTTTAAATATCTGCTGTCCCTGTTGAACAAAAGAGTTGAGAAATTACACTTATAATATATTTAAATTACCCAATAAATTATAATATAGTTTGGCCACAAAATTCTATCAGTCAGAAGGTAAATTTACCTGTGAGATTTCACAAATAGTCATGTGGGGAAAAAATGTGTTTTCCCAGGATTCTTTGCGGTCTGTTAGAAACAAAACAGCCCATGATTCAACAGCAGCTTCTATATAATATTAATTTAATTCAGGTCGAGATCTGGACTTTACCTGGACAACTACAATACCTTGACTCTCCTTATTCAGGCATTGTGTTGTAGACTTGGGATCATTTTCATGTTGCATGACCCAGATTGGGCCAAACTTTAGCTGTCGGACAGATGGTCTCACATCGACTCTAGAATACTTTGGCATACGGAGGAGTTGCCCAGCTGAAGCTGATAGATACCAAATCACACTTAACAAACATTTAACTGAGGCCAATAAAGTATGAGATGAAGCACTAGGGTTTTGTGCAGCTTCTTTCAGCATTCCACAGTCTGACCAAATTTCCGAGGAAGATTTTGGAAAGTGTCTTGAATATTTTCCGCACGTGAATCAACTTTCTCACTGTAAAATAATGGACTGCAAATGCTTGAAAATGGCCTTAAACTGCTTTGCAAACTGATGTGCAGCAACAGTTGCTTCTCTAAGATCACTGTTAATGTCTTTTCTTCTTTGCAATGTGTTAACACACAGCTGAATGCTCTAGACAGCAAACTGCCAAATTGTCTGCTTTTATAGAGGGGCTCACATTTGCTGATAATCAGTTAATCAACTATATTAATCAACTACACGGCATCTTAATCTCTATGGAAGTATAACTATCTTTTTGGCATGTAGTCACTGTAGTCACATTAATATTTGCTCTGCAAAAGTACACTTTTTGCAGAGCAAAAGAGAGATGAATCAAGCATTCTAATAATGCATTTCCTAGTGCTAGTTAAAGTAAATACTACTCTTCATTAGATTAAAAAGTAAATGCTGGATTTTTACCTATGTCAGTGTTTTCAGGGTGTGACATTGCTACGGTTACTAAAGAAACTTGATACTTCTTTCACTTCTTTCAAATACTGCAAATTTTAAGCTTTCATAAGCTGTTGTTACTATTTCTAGCAGGTGTCCATGGCTCAAAGTCAGGCTCCATAAAGGTGTGCAGGAGGTGATTTGTACCCATGCAGCGTCAGTATGGTTCACACAAGCCTTCACGTTGGAGAAAATGCTTTGTCAACACACTGTGTTTATCGGTAAGGTGACAGTGTCATCGGGGAGAGGGCTGAATGTTGGGAGGGAGGAGCTATGGATGATGGATTGAGGGCTGCATGAAAGGGCAGAGGGAGGGACGTTATCCCTCTGGTACCTTGTCGGTACTCGTGAGACAAGTAACACTGCAGCAGCTGCAGTCCACGTCATCCTGGAGCTCATATCTCAGGCATTTACCGCCCCTTTCCTCATTTCAGTGACAAATCGTTTTGCAGAGGAATACATCGATTATTTACCCTCTCAGCCTGACTCATGTAGTATATGAACACCCCTCGCTGTCCATCTTCCTGTCCTTCTTTGCCTGTCGCAAATTCTATTATGAAGTGTTTAAGTGACAGGTCATGCTTCGACTGACTGCACTCTCAATGACATGTCCAGGATATAACAGGATCACACAAGAAAAAGATCCCTACATATTGAGAATGTTGACCTAGCTGGGTGATGTTTGCACATGCAAGTCTCTGTGTGGCCATGCTCTATGTGCATGAATTTCCCCTAAGTTAATATTTATTGAGCATGATGATCATGTGAGAACACATAATGACATGTCAAGAGGTGAGTGTTGATGATGAATGGGAAAGCACAGACTGTAAAGTCTTGATAGTTTTCTGTGACCTTGAAGCCATGTGCCTATGCCTGAAGTAGTCCTGCTCAGTATTACAGGGGCTCAGGAGACAGCCGATTCCTGGCTGCAGCAGAGCAAAAGTGAGATGAAGGAAGGATTTCTGGTTTCCATCAACTGGTTTTATATCCAGTAACATATTAATCAAACTGTGCTGCCAAATAGGATGACATTCTGAGAAAGTGCAAGGTTATGTTCAATTAAACTATACTAACTAGTATAGCATCTCTGTAATTAAAGTATTTCAATTTCAATTGGACTTTAGCTGCTTTATTAATCTGACAAAATCTCAGTTGCAGGTATTTAAGTTTTCACACCTCAAGGGGAGAGCACAATCAGAATATACTAAACCCCTGTGAAAAGTTCAACCATTTATCAATAGAATTCACTAAAATATGTGTTGTAATTCATATTTTTCACACACTAGAATTAGCACCTTATAGATTTGCATCACATGTTTGCAGAACCATTGTAAAAAGCAGATTTCTGTTAAGATTTAGAAAACAGTTGTGACAGTTTTGTCAATGGCAGGTGAAGTAACAGTTCACATCTGTGTACATGTGTAAATAAAAGGGAGGTGAAGCCCCTAGGATGATGTGTTCTTCTGCTTAGGGTAATGAGGGTAATGGCAAGTATTGTAACAGGGAAAAAATATGGTTAAATCCCAAGGTGAGGGTGGGTTGGATGATCCTGTATGTGGGTGCTTACTCTGCAGGAAAGGCGGAAAAGAGGGGGTCCCACACTCCCTTTGCCTCATCAAACAGCGATTGGCTCCTGCGGAGTAAATCTCCTATCACAGAGCTTACCTATCTCCAGTGGTGGAGGAGGGAGGAGGGAGAACAAAGCCAGGTGACCCCCACATTTAAAGTACAGTGAGTTCGCTTTACGTGTGTTTTAGTTTGTCTGTGTTTGCGTGTGTGCGACTGTGTACGTTTGTGAGTATGTGTGGGTACCTCTGGCATCTCTGGTTTCGTATTCGGTGTTAAATTACCCAGTGGGAGCTTTAATAGAGCTTGAGACACTCTTGATTGTGAGTCTGGATAAGGGAGAGTGAAGGGAGTGAAGGGGAGCAGAGCGGAGCTGCCAGGCAGGATTAGAGAGGACACAATAACTTCTGCAGAGCGGGGACATGGGTGAGTGGTACAGGCATCTGCACACAGCTGGATTTAAACTTTAAACTTTTTAATTGAAAATTTGGACGTGATTTGGGAGCGCTTTGATGTTCAGACCTTGTTAAGGTAATAATATCATTTGTTGTGTCTTTCAGTATCATCTTGGTGTGAGATAATGCTGAGTTAACTCAATTTTAAGGTTTTTGCAGCAAAATAATAATAATTATAATAATTGATTCAAATGTCTGAGATCCAAGAACTCTGTCCAAAATGCACTTTTTTGTCCGTTGTTTTTATTGGGCTCAGTAACTCCTTTCCAAACATATATCAATATACCATTTCAGTTGTTTGCATAACCTCTATATAATATTCTTACATAAGAACAGACTGTTACATTATCTGCTACATTGCAAGTGGAAACTGAGTCCCAAGTCTGTCAGGGCCCTTGGTGTCTAGTGGACACAGAGGTTGCAGCCTTCGAGCGTGTGTCAGGATTTGGTTACCTGTCCGAACCAGACAAACGGAATGATAAACAGCCTCTTAGAGATAAGGTAAATGTGATGCTGATAGACTATCCGGAGGCTGAACAACGTCTGGATGGATTAAACAAGTCACTAGTTAGGTACTTACAGACAAACATTTAGATACTGAGACAAAATAAATGTGCTTTGGTTTTGATGAATCTCTGTTTTCAGTCATAAATGAAAGTTCAGATGTTTTTCTATAATGAAACAGCTTTGCCATACATATCAGCAATAATACCATCCATACTCCATGTAAGCATTTTTAGGGCCGATTTTGCCGAGTTTGTGTTTTCATTCAGGCTATTGGAGAGAATTTGGGGGGGTGGGGGGGTGGATAACTGCACAAGCAAAGTATCAGATGGCTGGCACTCTGCTTATCTAAACAGGAGCTGACAGAGGTGTATTGCAGCATTTGTCCAATTTCACAACATTCCTTTTTCCCACCCCTATTTCACAGATTACACAGAGGTCTGAACCCAAAAAGTAGTGTACAGCTGCCTTAATGATAACCAGGAGGAGGGAGCCCCTGCCAGGATCTTCCGTGTGGCACTGGCTGTGGTGTCTCCTCTGTCTACAAAAAAACGTTGATAGACAGAGCTGTGGCTAGTGACAAGACAGGCAATGGAGGTGCCACTAGTTAATTTTGAGAACATGGATGATGTTGGCATCAACCTGGGAGACCCAAGTGATTCTGGGTACCCAACCTCACCTACATCAGAGGCCGCTGATCAGAACCTTTTAACCCAGCGTTTGACTTCTCCTCAACAGTCACCACACAGAAGACGACGCAGCCATCAGTCTGGTGCAGAGGGGCTCTCACCTTCCACTCCTCTTACACTGACCACTAAAGCCAACTCCAGCAGTGGCAGTTTGATCTCTAATCTAAAGCTCCTGATCAACAGTGAGTCTCCCACCAACAGTGTCTTCAGTAAGATGCCAAGGGATTATTACGAGAGTGAAGATTTGTTTGAAAAGCACTACATGGAAGAAAAAGATGAGAAAGTTGTCATCAATATTTCAGGACTGATGTTTGAGACCCAGCTCAGCACCCTGAATAAGTTTCCAGAGACACTGCTTGGAGACCCTATGAAGAGGATAAGCTATTTTGACCCGATGAGAAACGAGTACTTTTTTGACAGAAACCGTCCATCTTTTGATGGGATTCTCTACTACTATCAGTCAGGAGGGAGAATCCGCAGACCAGCCAATGTACCTTTAGATGTATTTGCAAATGAAATTGTTTTCTATGAATTGGGTCATGAAGCAATGGAGCAGTTCCGTGAAGATGAAGGGTTTATCAAAGAGCCAGAAGTTCTTTTGCCCACCAATGAACTCCAGCGACAGTTTTGGCTACTGTTTGAATACCCAGAGAGCTCCAGTGCGGCCAAATCTGTTGCTCTGGTTTCTGTCCTTGTTATTGTCATCTCTATCTTCATATTCTGCCTAGAGACTCTGCCAGAGTTCAGGGAGGACAATGACTTTATTCCGGGTGTAACCCAATTTATCAATGGCACCCGAGAAGATGCTAACCTTCATCAGACCACTAAAAACCTGCTAGCATATTTCACTGATCCCTTTTTCATAGTGGAGACTATTTGCATAATTTGGTTTTGCTTTGAACTCGGTGTCCGCTTCGTAGTGTGCCCAAGCAAAAGTGATTTCTTCAATAACATCATGAATATCATCGACATCGTCTCTATTATTCCTTACTTTGTAACCCTGGGAACAGAGCTGGCTACAACACCTGATGACGATATGAACTCTAGTCAGAACATGTCTTTAGCAATCTTAAGAATCATCCGACTAGTGAGAGTCTTCAGAATTTTTAAGCTCTCCCGACACTCAAAGGGACTTCAGATTTTGGGGCAGACCCTGAAAGCCAGCATGAGGGAACTGGGCCTGCTAATCTTCTTCCTATTTATAGGAGTCATCCTATTCTCAAGTGCCATCTACTTTGCAGAAGTGGATGAGCCCCAGACACAATTTGTTAGCATCCCTGATGGCTTCTGGTGGGCTGTGGTAACAATGACCACTGTGGGATACGGCGACATGTGCCCCATCACCATGGGAGGCAAAATGGTCGGCACTCTCTGTGCCATTGCTGGTGTCCTGACCATTGCCCTGCCCGTCCCTGTCATTGTGTCCAACTTCAACTATTTTTATCACCGTGAGACTGAGCAGGAGGAGAAACAGGTGATGGATGCAGCGGCAGAGGCTGCCCAGAAAATGTCAGCTGCAAATAAGTGTGGAAGCACACTTTCACTAAACAAAAGTAACAGCACCTGGCAGAATGAAAAGAATGGCATGCACTGATAAAGAAACTCAAGTATTTATTTATATAAAGGGCATGAAAAACAAATGGACAAAACAAACATATCCATTAATAAGATACACTGGCTAATCAGTTTATCTTTCTCTCTATTTTATACAACAAACATGGCAGCATTTGTGCAGATAATTACAGTATTAATAAGAACCGTGTGGTCCTGTGGCAACCAAGATAGGCTCCAGCCACCCTGCAACTCTGACTTAGATAAATGGTTATGGATAAATCTATGGATGTATGTTTGGCGATACAGTTTTCACAGAAGTTGTCTGCCTGCATGTGAATGTGTCAAAGTGCAATTACTACAACTACTGTCAGTTACCTTTATGAGAATGACTGAAAGGTATAACATATTATCTTTCATTCAGTGCACTTTGAAGAAAAATGTCATAGCAATTATGTACTTGAGGCAAATACTTAATCTTGGAAAATGTTATTGTTAGAGTAAATACTGTAACGACGGGACATGCAGTTGTTTAATGTCCCTCTGGGCTGTATTAGCAGACTAAGTGACGGAAGAAAACAAATCAAAAATTATTTTGAGCAGCAGTAGAACTGGAAGTATATTCAGTACTCATATTACATCACAGTCCCATGTCAGTCTATACTTCATCATAATCAGCAGAATCTTGAGAGGACTTGGCATGATTTTCAAGGGCAGATGAATGTATCCAGGCAAGAGGACATCAGCACACGCAGTGACTTATCAGCAAATCTATTCTTGTGGAGAAGCAGCGCTTCTCCATATGACACAGCATAACAATAGCTGTGTGACAAACAGTTGGCACATTAGCATGTCCGCCATAAATCTTTTAGATGGCTGAAGAATATAAATCTAATATAATAGAGTAAAATGTTGTACATGCAGTAGTTGCATGAAAAAGTTTCAGCTTTTAAAATCAACTTTTCTTTTATTATTTGGGATTTTGCTCCAAATTATGCACATTAGATATATGGATCACCTTCTAAAGTGTAATGTGAATTTACCCTTTAAAAAACACATCAATCCAATGCACTTAATGCTTTTTTCCACATATCTCTTAAGCACTTTTGGAATTTTGCACCATCCACTGTTGGCAGGGGAAAAAAATGTGTAAAAAAAATGTGAAAGAACATGTGTCTTCAGTTTGTATCTGAGAGAGCTGGAGAAAGGACAAAGGCAAAAAAAGTTTACTTTGCACTCTTATTTGAACATATCTCCATTTGCCTTCTTTCTCTCATTTTTAACTGCATGGCATAGTATGCTGGAATGAGGTTTACTTCTTGTTATCAGCAAATGAACGTTTGAATATTTACTGTGGCTGAATGCATTGTAGTATTTTAACCATAATAGTAATGAGCATTGTATTCCATGTGATGGGAAAAGCCAATACCTTAAGTGGATTTGAGAAAAGAAGGGAACAAATGATAAATGTGCACAGTTTATTTGAATTGGTACTATATATGCATGCCACATTTTGACCTTGAAAATGTACTGTATGTAAGTTTATGAAACATATAAATACAGCTTGTACTAAAGTGTAAATGGATATAGTTGAAAAACAGTTGGTACCTTTCTAATAACCTCACAATATGCAATAATGACGTGACGTGCGGATGAAAAAAAAATGTATTTTTCACCCATGGAAAGAGCAATACCTGTAATTAAAATGCAATAAGGTGGCATCAGCGTCATCTGGGTACTCAGCACTTTACAATGTCATGAAGCACTTAATATCTAAGGACTCTTACTGTGTGTGTCAACATTGTACAGTTCAAGTCATAATTTGCTGTTTTATTTATTCAGCAAAGAGTGCCTTTCATTAAACGTGTATTCTAAAAGTGTGAAGTTTCCTTAGATAATTTCTTTTCTGGGATGAAATGCACCTGTGTTTTAATTTAAATGTTTAAAACATCTCTTTCCCCCCCTGTGTTTAATAATAATGGTGATGAATGGAGGTGTAAGTCTCAGTGTATAGCTTTAGGCATGAATACTCATTAACGCCTCATGTTAGCTGTTATTAACGCCTACTCGCTGTTGGTTCTCTGCTGATATCATGATGGCATCCCTCTCTGTATCTTCAGGTTTCTATAAAAACTCATGCCTAACACTGTGTCACATCACGAGACAGAAAAAGTCAGGCTGTTTTAAATATTGATGTATATCAAGACTGGAGGAGCAGATGTTTGTCATTGTGTGTTCTCTAAAAAAAAGCCCATAAAGAATAGAATTTCTGTCAGAAATAGGTGTGAAGATCAAAAAGGGATTATCAAATTATAGAGCAATCTAAAAATGGGGGGATTTTGAGTCAAAAATGTGAAATAGAAACGTGATTAGCTTTTCCTTTCTATTGGCAAAGCTCGTCACTGGATGGAGAAATTCTAATACTGTGTGCCTAACAATGCCTTTGACTGGGATCGTTTCTGAAGCAAAAGCACCAAATTAAATATGCAGACCTTATGAATCATTTATAAGACTATCTATCTTGGCTTCTAAGGCTAGGCACTGACTATTTAACTTGTCTTACTGTCCCATACAGTCACAGGAAGGAAACATTTTCAGTTGGTATGTGTAAACGATATCAAGGTATTATGAGTGTAGACTTTATATATCTAATGCATTTTTTGTGCTAAGTCTTTCCTCCATCAAAAACGTAGTTGCAGTGTTTTCATGCTGAAACATACTGACTGTTTTATTACCGTCTGTTTGGAGCCCTGTTTGTGTCTCTAGTTAACACTAAGGTCAGCGGGCCACCATTCTGCCCCACTGATCACTGATTGTACAGTGATAGCCCAAAGACAAGGTCTGGTAGCATTTTAGCATTTAACAGACAGGTGGCTCTGGCAAGGTCAAAGCTAATGTGAGGCTATCATTTATAATTCATTGGGTGTTTAATGAAGAGATCACATCTATCCTGCCTTACATAAAGATTCACCCCAAGAAATCCATTCAAAGCAGATGGTCCAGTCACTGTGACACAGCACACTGTACTGCACCCCTTAATGGATCTAAAAATATCACTGTTGCATGACTCTGTTTATCCTTTTACTCTCCAAGTTAGTGACAAGCTCTGTCTCATTGCTTTAAAAGAAAACAATGGACTGGTCTCACATGAAAGCTCAGACAATGAGTCTCATATCAGTAGATTAGGTTACTGTTTTGTCAGCAGACACGTTAAGCCAATTTCAAAGCTGCACAGACAGCAGCCTGTGTACTGTAGTTCACACCCTCCTGAGGACAAAGTCACTTGGACCTCTGCAGCTTGTGTTTGTAATAAAACTCTAAAAAGTCTCCAGTTTCTTCCAGTGACTTGGGTGCTGGAACAAGCCCAGTAAAAACAATGCTTGATGACCTTGTTGTTATAGAGTTTTGATCAAAGTGTGAAGGCAGCGCTGCAATGAGTGGCAATGCAATCCTCACAGCTTTAATATTGATTAAAGTTCTGCCACGTTCACCTACGGTATTACTTGAATCATTGATTCTGTGCCATGAGTTTGCTGACTGAGGACTTTTAGACACGGCTTCTGCATTACTCTTATAGCTTCTTTATTAACTAAAGAACTAATATGATGACCTTAGAAAAACAAAACCAAAGAAGAGCCGCTTTATAACAAATGAGCAGTAGATGTTTGGCACAGGACAAACCAATCTTGCAAGGTACTCCATCTGCTCTCTCAGCACTCGAGGATGAAGAACAGAAAGGTGGACGTACACCTCTTTACAGTGGAGAGGGGATCAGGCATCCTGGCACTATGTGATAACACGATGCTCCACAGATGGGATTTTGTTGGGAAGTCCTTTCAACCGTTTTGTTGTTTTGTTTGTTCACCTATGCCGGAGATCATTTATGTTACATCTAAAATGTAATCATCACGCATGAATCAACTTCTAGGTAATAATTAAAGAACCTCAATATTTCAGTCCTCCTTATTTGGATAAGGCTGATGATATTTTATGTTTCTGATTGTCAATAAATGTCATTAAAAAATTAAAACAATGAAAGGATTATAGTAAATGTTACTTAATTTAACATAACCCAAACAATTCCTTCTTAGCAAGACTTAGCAACCCTCTCTTATATAAAAGTGACGTTATTTCTGGTACTTTCTGAATCCTCAAAGTTTGGCATTTGGCGAAAACCATCTGGGTTTTATGACACCATGTTATGAAGCGACCATATTTAGGTGAGTTGGAGCTAACTCATTTTTTACGTTAACATTAGCAAGTTTAATGTTAACGTTAAAAAATAGCAATTAGGAACACCGCAACCAAGTAGTCATCCCTACAATACTTCTTTGAAGTCCACCAGCTGGGGCGTTGTAATGTGACTAATCTAAGTCTAAAGTCTGTGACACAAGACAATATCAGAGACAGACATGTTTGCAAATGAGAATTTTAAGACACCCAGAAACAAAACATACCCCAACGGACTTTAAGCCTGGATTATAGTTAGTGGCGGACACAGTCACGGATAGCTCAGTGCATGCGTAGTTGGTGCATTGTAAGGTAAATTATCCACGGACCCTTCCATTCACCGTCCGTTGAAGAAATTTATGTCACTGGAACCCAAGTGGACCCCCTTGGACTCTGGGACAGGGAAAGTATAAAACTAGCTTTAGACTGTATAGATTTAACATGTAGACACAGATCTCTGCTGATTATTCATTTTTATTAATTGACTAGTTCATTTCAAAAATATAAATATAACTACATTATATAACTACAATAAATTATAAACAAAAACCAAGGCAAAACACAACGAGGTGTTGTGGATATCTCTATATACCAAGGATTTTTTCACATTCTCCAAAAGGAATAGAGTGAAGTTTACACATACATGCGGTTTACACTTTTTAAAATAAAATAATCCTAGATTTAAGCCCAACCACCTGGTGTTTAAACTGTCAGTCTGTAAGGGTTAGCCAATCAAAAGAAAGCTGATTTCAAGGAAAAATGTCCTAAAGGCAAAGGAGCTTAAACAGCTGTTTCAAGCATCTTACAGTATAAAAAGCAGATTACTAAGAATTAGCTTGACCTCTAAGTTATGCAAAAACTACTTTAGTGGAGTCCAAGAATTAAAAAAATATTGAGGCAGAAATGGGCAGATTAGGTCCACTTTAATTTAAATAGATGTGTTTTTAAAAACAATTTCAAGGATGAGGAAAATTAGCAATAGCAACTAAATTGTTGTTATGCCATCCTGTAGATGTGCTAGCTTTGGGCTGACAGTTAGCCTCAAGTGGCCATTTTCATGAACCTGGCGGTTTATGCAAAATATACTGCTCTACTGAATAACATATATAAAAACAAGTAAAGTATTTATTTCTATTTTATTCTTATTTACTAAAATCTGTAGTCTCCAACTGTTAAGATCACTGAGCTTTGCAGTAAAATTGGATGCACTGCTTAGATTTATGTCTTAAGTGAACTGGATTTCCTTCCTCTTTAACATCTACAATAAATGTGAAACTATGTTACACATTAACAGATTCCTGCTTGTATTTCCTTTCTGATTCAGCATTAAAAGTATAAGGACTTTGTTTCAGAAACCTCTTAAGTTGTTAAATGTCATGATGATGAACTTACATAACTCAGTTTCACTTTCTGGTGGCTAGCTTTCAATGCATCATATACGCTATTACACCATTTAATCAAAAAGCCTCTAGGGTGTATTGTACAGCAGTATTATTGGCTAGAGACATTAATGTAATCACTGTATGCCCTAGTATCTGTTTATATGTGTTTTGTTAGCACAGCTCTGCATTACCTGGGTAATACTCATCTATCATTTTAAGACTGGAGAGTCCCTAGACAGAGGATGAGTAATTATTCAAACAGATAAAGATTTACAGCAGGTAAATGCGCTGTGGCTGCTCCGCTGCACTGTGTCAGCCCTGGAGGTCAATGACCAGATCTTGTGGGACGAAATGTGAGTCTCACATTTGTCCAGCTTAAGACCCATGAAAAATGAAAAAGGTGACCTGAAGTATCATGTGGGACCAGACAGTAATGCATTGCCTTGAAGACCACAAGGTGCTTTGCACATCTGCAACAGCCAAGGTTTTTCATAAAGTCGGGTTAGGGATCTGATGGAGTCTGTTTGTGAAAAATTACTGGAAATGATGCAATCATAAAGGCACAGTTCTGTGGAACTGAAAATGTTACGCAAACATGTGGATACCAAAAGTGAAACTATTTTGTATACTGTGGAACAACAAATTATGTAGGCTTACCATATTTTTGAATGCAAAAATATAGTCAAATTTATCATTAAAGAAAACAAAACAAAAAACAAACCTTAATCTGTAAAGGTAACAAGTGAAAACAGCATCAAATAAATATAGTATAGTCAAGCATACTATTTGTGACTAAATTTGTGCTGCAGCATGGAATAGCATGAAATGTATGAATACAAAAATGCATACTTACATATGTGTATTGAGATTAAATACTTATAAGAAAAGTAAACTACTCTATGGCTTATGGCCTGCAGGGAAATAATGTAAATGCTTGTTTGACAGTGAAAGCCTCCAGAACATGTTTTAAGAGGGACACCCAGTGGCTTCACTTTGGTACTACAAACTGTATAAATGTATCAATCATTCCACCCTGGACAAAGAACAACCTGCAAAATTGCCATGACATTCATGCACATGGTGAGTCTATGTACCACAATGGTATCCATAACTTTTGTGTGAATTTGTTTCCTGTTGTTCAGATTATGTAATAACACACTGATGAACTAAAGGCTCATAAAACATGATGTAGCTTACCGGCATGAGAGGCTCCAGTTTGGGATTCTGTTAATCTTTAACCGCCTATACAAAGAGAAAATTCAGTAAGGTTATCAGCAGCCTGCAAAATTACCATAAAGTTAAATAACAACTCTCTAAATTACTTTCAACAGAAACTGAGCTCTATAACCTAGACCACCATACCAGTAAAGCACAGGTATGTGATTGTTGTAGGACACAGAATGGACTATGCTTCAGTATAGAGAAACTCAAAAACTTGCACAAATTAAATTGATATATTATGTGGTTTGAAACCTTTTCTTCTATTATAAGATCAAATGAAGGAATCTATGGGGCAATTAATCACTGAAAGATTATTAAACTACTGTCTCCTGTTGTGTATCTGCCACTAACATGCCTTAACGTTGCACCTTCTATGGACTTCCAGTAAATCAGCCAGATAACAGACTACTGATAAGAGTCAGCTGCAGACAGAAAGACTGTTGATAGGTAAGCACATAAATAAGGGATAGGCATGTTTTACAATTAAACAAAAATAGTTTGTCTGATCACAACCACTTCCTGGAAATACTTCACCACAATGCATAACAGTGCTCTATGTTTGGAAAACTGCAAGGGAAAAGTTGTGATTACAAAATCCTGGAAACTGTGTTATCATATGTTGTCACAAGAGCATCCAGTCAGTTTTTTGGGAATAAAGGTTTTAATGAAAGTAAATTAAAGCAAATGGTGCAATCCAAGTGAAATGTTAGAGGTGCTCGGTTTTAAACTATAACAACAAAAAATAAATTCTGGAACATTTGTAATATATTCTTTAAAAAGTGAGTGGAAAGTAAACAGTACAGTTAATATTGATTGTTAGTTAAGTAGTTTCCTTGGAAACGAATCCCACCACAGGACTAAAGACATAATGGCAAATAAATGAGAACAATGTTATTACTCTACTACTACTACTATTGCTAATCATAATAATAATATTATTATTATAATACAAGTAGTTTCGTGATTACTTTTCCAAGACATCTGTATTAGAATACATAAAGAGACAGCCACATATTATCACAAATCAAGAAAAACACGCGCAAGAGTGGTTGAATGACCTAAATATAACCAAAAACAATCACTATGATTACGTCATTTTTAAAAACGTCGTGTTTTGTACTGCTTCCTCTAAATGCAGCCGCTGAAAGGAAGCAAAATGTCTTCCTGTAAAAATCGGCTAAAGCACCCGGTGGATATATTGTTTTACAGCAGAACCGAGAGCGAGGGTGAAACTGTAAACACGCGTTGAGTCTGACGTCTACTTTGGACACGAATGCAAGCAGGAAGACAGGTGGTGTTTTCCCAGCTTCCCGCCCACTCTGCGAAGGAGTTAGGAGGTGGGTTTTTGAGCAGGCAGCCGGACTTTGGAGTATATAACTTTTTAAAAAGAACCGTGAGTGGTGGTAGCCAGACTTGCACAGATCCTTGCAGAGATTTAAGATATTTGCGGTGTGTGAAGGTGAGTCTACATTTTGGCCTACTGCTAATGGTACTAATGCGTTTCTTCTTGTTGTTTTGCAGTCTTTCTTCTTCCTCCAACTTGTTAATGGTATAATCCGCCTCTACAATTTTACCGCTTGTAGTTTAAAGTAAAACATTTAACGAACACTTAATAGCAACCTGGTTTCAGAAAGTCCCAGATTCGTATTTGTTTTTCTGTTTAGCTTTCGGTTGTGCTGTTGTTCAGATAAGGGAAGTTAAATATCTCCATACGGGTTATATGGAGCTACCTACTATTATTTATTCCAATTTAACAACAGACTAAAAAAAATATTTGCCATCTTAGTTGAAATTAATGATTATTGTGCCGACTACTTTCTTGCTACATTTATTAATTTGAAGGTCTAAAATTGTTACAAATGTTTACATTTTTCTCAGTTTTGTTCAGTTTTGTTTTGTTTGTTACAATTGAGAAGATGATACCATCCATTGTCAGGTCATTTGGATTGAAATCGTATCCTTCAAAAGTGTTAAGGATGTGTTGTATATGTGGTGTTGTGTTTCACCTTTCAGAGTCCAACATGGAAACAGAGAAAGAAAAACAAAGGCCTCCACACAGCCAGTTGATTTCCGTGCCTCCCAAGGATACAGTCCGTCTCCTGGAGGTATACGTAAAACGTAGCCTCAGCCTAAATGATGGCACTCATGGGCTTAAAGTGGCTGGGAGGAAAGAAAAATGGGTGACAGTGCCAAAAAGACAAAGACATCATTCCAGCGACCCTTCCCTTCACTTGGCCCCTTCACTTGAGAATGTGGATGGCAAAGAAATTGATATGTTCTCTCCGGTCGAACATGTAGCAAACCAAACCGAGAAATGTCCCGAAGAACCAGAGAAACCGACAAAAAAATCAAAGAAGATCAAGAAAACCTCATTTTGGAAAAATATAATTGGCTTTTTCACCCGGAAGGACAATGAGGATAAAGACGATGAGCAGGACAGTCCACCAGACAAGTCCAAGTCCTCTGAGACAGTAACTAACTGCTTGCCCATTACACCAGTCACTTTACCAAAGAAGTCAACAAGAAAAAAGTCCCTAAGAAGAAGATTCTCAAAAAGGCAGCCATCTCTGACAAAACCAAACAAACCTGCTGACATCACTGGAGTTGAAGGTATGTCTGTGGGAGAACTGACCTTAGTTAATAATCAATGTTATTTTTTTACATTTTTATAGTAAGCCAAATCACTGGAATACAAAAAAATACACATTTAAAAATAACCAAATCTTCATTTTGCAGCTGTTGTCAGTGTAACACCAACATACTCTTATTATGAGAAGGTGTCAGAGGAACTGGAAAAAATTGTCCATGAGGTCAAAGAAAAAGAAGAGGTTGCACCACTTTCAGATGGTAAGAAACTGTTTAGTTCTCTAAATTTAAGTCATGTACATGTCAGTCTGAAAATACTTCAGTATTGCCAACAAATTTGATGAAAGAAAAGTAGAACAACTACTAAACCAAATGGAAGGTTTGTGCTAAAAATGTAACTATACCATACACTTAAATAATAATAATTAATTCATTTTTTTTTTTTAATAATGGATTGGATTTATATAGCGCTTTTCAAGGCACCCAAAGGCTTTACAATGCCATATTCATTCACTCTCACATTCACACACTGGTGGAGGCAAGCTACAGTTGTAGCCACAGCTGCCGCAGATGACAAAGTTAGAGGTGCATCGGCTTTAACTATCGCCAACAACAAATATCTGGAACAATGTATAGGTATTAAAGTGTCTTGCCCAAGGACACAACGACCAGGACAGAGAGCCCGGGGATCGAACCGGCGACCTTCCGGTTACAGATATGCTTCCCAACCCCCTGAGCCACGGTCGCCTGCATTAAACCCACATTGTTACATGTAGCAGACTGTGGTGTGAACAATGTTGTGAACTGCTCAGAGCATTAATTACACTTCTTCTTTCTGTTTGGTCTCAGAGGAAGTAATTAACAGGATCATTGCTCTGATGAAGGAACAGGGTGATGCCATAGATGTCAAGGTTGGTATTAACTGTCAGTCTTGGAAAATTACAAATATTGAAATACTTTATGTGAAATAGTCGGCCTGTATATAATGCCTTGAATTTAAATTGTTTTTAATTACACAGATAAACTGTGTTTTAACAGAAAACAAAAGCTAACTAATAAATCTCAAATTATTATAAAGATAACCATTACCAACTCCAGTGAAAAAGTACAAACTCCTTCACAAATTCATGTTCAAGTGCCTGTGTTTGTCTGCAATACTTAATGGGTTTTTGTGAATTTGTCATGGGCATTTACTCCTGCATGTTTTCTGTTTTTACAATAAGAATAGTAGTAAACGAGGCCTACATGAGAACAGGAAGAGGTGTAAAGTTAAATATGCAAAGTTCTACTTAGCAGCATGTCAGCGTGTTTTGAAACTACAGTTGGTTTTTTGTTTTTTCATACAACAGGTTCACACATTAAATAAGTATGGCTGCATTTGGCAATACAAACTATTTAGAAATGTGATCAGGCATAAATACTAAAGATTTCATGACGACAGCTTCATAAGTCTGAGGATTTGCTGCTTTTCTTTGTATTATTGGATCATAAATTGTTTTTGGTATATTTCAAAAACATTTGCACATGTAAATATGGCCTTTAGAGATATTATCCACATTTGAGCTATGAGCATTTTTAATTTTCTGACATTTTATAGACCAAACAATCAGTACAAAGAGAAAATAAATGGGTTGCTAATCAATAATGTAAATGATCATTAGTTGGACCCATCATGAATCAGACTAAAAGCTTTCTGTTCTCTCAGCTACAGCTAATGATTATTTAGGCTTCCTGATAAGATAGCCTTGCACTCTATTAAATTGTAATTAGCTTTTTATCCCATTTTGTATAACTGTTCAGTAGCTGTTGACTTCATGTTTATTTTAGTAAATCAAAAGCAGATTGTATTAACAGACCTCCTCTTCTCCTTATGTCTTACAGATGAAAGATAACCCCACCCTGAGCTCCTTCTTTCAGCAGATGACATACTCTTCCTTCCAAAAGCTTGCTGATGCATATGTTGAGAAAGAAGGTTCATCGACCCAAAAACCTCCAACTGTCTTACCAACAGCACCTGAGCTGGTCAAACTGGCTTTCACACTCGACTTCACGGCCAGGATAGCCGGACTCTCCAAACAGAATGTAGGCCACATTACTGGTCTGGGAAACCGTTATCTACAGGACCGATTTGAATACAGACAGGTAAGGATCAGATGAAATGGAGAGGGATAAAGCAAAGAGAGTAAACATTAGAAAGAAACAGCTTTCATGTGTTGTTTTCATAATAATGAAACGATGTTATCAGTTAATTATTGATTAAAATGGGAATGCAAATGTTCCCTTGCTTCAATATTTGAATGTATATCCCTAAAAAAGATGCTAAATATAGCGTACGATATTGTTTATTTTTAAAAATGACATTGAAAAAGTTTGTTTTATTTAAACTCTTATGTTCTCTTACAGGCATGCACAGATCATCCATGGTCTGACAGTGATGACTGAGAAGCAGCCAAGCAGAAACATAGCTGCACATTAAATTTTGACAACCCCTCTTAGCACTGTAGATGTGGTTAAGGATGCATTGCACACCTGAGTTCCTTTTTACAAAGGGGCTAGCTAAGAAATGCTGTAAGCCTGCAAAGAGACACATGCTGTAATCTATGTTATGTTTTCTTAATATTGTTTTTGAGTGCATGTTAAACTATAAAATCGCAACAGAACGACTGCTGAGAAAACTGTTTGGATGTTGTTTGAGTGCATGAGTGTTGTCTTTCACATTAAGGTTCAACTGAGATATAAGTAAACTACTAA